CTGTCTGATCGAGGTGTAGGAGGAGGAGAGAACAGGAAGAAGAGGAGAAAATGGAAGGAAGGGCACGGAGAGGAGAAATGAGGTTGAGCTCTGATGAGGATGAATAGTGAAGAGAGGAGGAGGAAAGAGAAGGAGGGAGGAGGGTAACAACAGAGAGGGGTAGTTGTGTGTGTGTGTGTGTGTGGGGGGGGACCAAGAAGAGAAAAAGGAGGGGAGAGAAAGGGTGCTGAGAGGGTCTAACTCTGGCATAAAAGTAAATTCAAATGCATTATTCATGGCTCTCTGTGTCAAAATATCATTTACGTGTGCTGTGTTGACTCATGGCTCGTAAAATGAGAAGGACATGAAAAGAAAGAAAGGAGGGAGGAAATAAACAACTCAGGAGGCTTTCTCTATGCTTGGCCTGAAAATTTATAAAAAGGAGACCTGGTATGCTCTCCCTCAACTTATTAGGCATCAATTATTTATTATACTCTCTGTTTACTATTCTTTATCTGTGTAATAAGCAGCCACATTGTCAAAGAAAGTCTAAAATGTGTCTTCACATTTACAGGTTTGAAAAGGACCGAATGGGTTTCTAGTGTATTTCACAACTATATGCTAATGCATACGCAGCCTATCCTAATGAAAAAGACTTGTTTCTATCGTTATTGACCCTAAAATCGAAAAGAAGGAGCCACACATTTGTGAGGGTGACAATTTTCAAATCAACCCTAATTCTCCTGTCAATGAATAAGTCTTCAATTTCCTGTTTCAAATCTGGGCCAAGATAACCAGCTGTTTGAAAGATTTTTTATTTAAATTTTTTGGGGGGGATGTTGTATATAATGAGTTCTGTCACTACTATCATCAACCCTCCAGCTTCTCGGTGTTGCCGTCTTCATACAGTAAGTACACTGACACCACAGCAGCCCCTACAGGCGGGTGGCAGTAATAGCAACTGCCACAGGCTTAATCTTAGTCTGGTTTAATTAAAGGAATAGTGGTTTCCAAACTGAAGGCTGAGAGCCACTTAGCAGGTAGCAAGATAAATGGTAGCGGTCATAGGTAGATGAACAGGATAAGAAACCAGACAAAATCTTTATAATGCACAAAAGCAGATTAATTTCTTCTAATGTTCTTTTTAATCTTTGCTTTTTATATATTTTTACCTCTTCAGGCCTCTAAAAATATTCAGATAAAACATGAAAACAGACACAAATTAATTTGTGGTTGTCCTAGTTTGAAGCAACAGACATATGCAGCCACGACCAGGAATCACATGTCATCATTGCTTTTAGTGCGTTACAAAGTAAAGGTTTTGGAGTCTTGAAGCCACAATAACATTTAAACAATTTGTAGAGACAGCATACTACAGCTTTACATTTAAGTCCAAGGTGTCCATATGAAATTTGATCAGAGCAAAATTTGGGCTGCATATGTCTAAACCTTTTTTTTTTTTAAGAAAAAGCTGATTAACATGAACATATACAAACGTGCAAATGACACACTACAGCATGTACTTGTGTTTTGTTTGAGGTAGGCCTAATGAAACATGTTATGTTTACTTGTTGTACTTTCATCAGTCTTCCACACCCCCATATTTGTACACGTATATACAGTAGACACAAACGCATATGCATTGTATGTGTGTGTATCCAGTGAGGGTGGGGGTACATATGACCTGCTCCACTTTTATTTTGATTTATAAGGCTGGTGGAGAGTATCATCACAGAATCGCTTCATCTTCTCTCCTTTATTACACCACATTTGTTTTCATTTTACTCCCAAGGCCTGGCTGAATACATTACAGATTTCCCTTGGGGCCCTGGGGGCAGCTCCTCTGCCATGGGAGACAATGGGATGATGGGGAGGGATTTCTGAGCATGCTTCATCATTAGAGACATTAGCATTATTTTGACTTCAAACCATTATCACAGAATTATCATTATTCAGAGTAATAGCGGGATAAGTAGACACATTTGTAGTCAAGCGTATTAGTCGTAATAACAAAAGTAAAAATTGCTCAATCCAATAATAAAAAAAGAGCTACACACACACACACAGTTTCAAATGGTAAAATAACAAAAACACATCTCTCTTTCACCTACACTGAAACTTTTCTTCTAAATAAACTAAAAAAAAGTTTTTTCTTCTCATAGCAAATGTAAGTTCTACTTCAGGTTACATTTTTAGTGGGCACGATAACCTGCCCTCTCAGATGCCTAAAACACAAAACCTGATTCAGTCCTGGAAAGACAACTACTGTAAGAGTAGAACATTACTGATAAAGTGGCGATTTGGTTTAGCATACTAAATCATACTGTCAATGGCAGCTTAATGCACAGTGTAATACATGATTGACTATGGGAGTTCAAGAAGGAGGGGTCTTGAGGTCAAGGGGTGGCATTCAGACTTGTTTTGGGTCAGTCTGGAAACAATATAAGCAGGAGGTAGGGAATTATACCCATTTATCATGTTTGTCATATGACTTTGGCCGGAAAGATTTATGTTAGAGCAGCACAAGAATCCTATACAACCTATAATGAGTTCCCCAAACAATAAAAGGTGACGGATGCTTTACATTTATTTGATAGATGTAGGCTATCTCTAAATATATGGGTAGCCATTTTCTCATACCTTGAAAAAAAATTAGCTTTAATATTTGCTGTTAGATCGTCAAGTGTCACACAGGAAGTAGATAATGAAGTTTAGAGTTAGTCGTGCTGATTATTAATACTTGATGGCATCTTGATCTTACTTTAAGTCAGCCATATTTTCCCTTTCTATTGTGCAAGCATATCAATTTTCTATTGTTCATCTCCATGTTCCATCTATGAGCCTGTCTTTGAAGACAACAGAAAATGCACAGAGGTCATAAAAATAGCTATATTACCTTACTTCCAACTTTTCCCCAAAACTCTAGTCCTCTCCATATCTGCTCCAACATTCTTTATTTCACCTCCTTCACGCATTCAGTATTCACAGCCAGCATTGAAACTGAGAGCATCTACATCATATCAAGGACATGCAATAACACCCACTAGGCAAGCATTGTTGCATGATTACATAGAGGAAAGGTTTCCAGCAATACTATTCTATGATTGAATTCCCAAGGACAAGAGAGAAAAAGACAGTGGGGAAATGTAGAGAGTGGTGGGGGCAGAAATACGGTGTTTCAAAGCACTGGTGTGGTGATAATGCATCATAAAAATATAAAATTATGAAAATACTAAGACTTGGTTTATGTGCATGTTCTGACCAGATATATGGAAACACATGCAACACACATCTTTGCAAAAGTCAGATGTGCCAGTGTGTGTGAAAGTAAAAGAGAAAAGCAACAGACCTTAGATCTTAAACAGCCCACAGCTGAGATGGCATTAGTTACTGAGCTTGCTACAGTATAAGCAATGCAGCTGGACATGTAAATTACATGGTCTTTCTACTCCTGGGGGCAAAATTACTCCCCACTGCACCTTGTATAATAACCCCCTCAATTCTCTCTGTTTGATAGTTTGGGGGATACCTGTCAATCAAATCAAAACCAGACAGAATACATTTACATAGTTACACAACGCTGCAATATCTGAGAGACACTGCAAAGACATATTTCCCCCAAAAAAATCAGATTTTGACCAGAAGTGTATATTTTATCAGATTTGATCAGTTTGATGCAACTATATACACAATTACACAAAACTAATTTATATAGTTGAGAACATTCAATTCTAAAACTTCTTTGACTTGAGAAATAATGTACTAATTGGTAAATTAGTGGGAAAAAAGGGCCCGGCTACTGATATCTTCTAGGGGATACAGCCACCCAGAGGTTGTAAGTGGTACTGCAGCTCAAATAAAGGCAATCTGAGCCCCCCCACCGGACCCCCCCCCCCCCCTGCTATTCTTTATTAAGTGTCAGCTCACACTGTTGCCATCTGAATGACAAGGGACACTATGGTAGGATACCTAGGGGGACCCACTGCTGACACAGAGACATATAAAAAAAGCTGGAGTTGGCCAAAACTTACCCGAGGAAGCCACAATCCTTCTGGGAGAATGTCCTGTGGACAGATGAGACTAAAATAGTCGTCATTCTACTGTTTTTCAGGGAACGAAACAAGGCTTTCAAATGCCAACAAGAAATATAAACATGAGAATACCAAAGAATTTGATTGCAACAATTTTCTAGGAGAAATGGTGTGTTATCTGACAGAAATGAGGGGCGCCAATATTTTGGGCCATGACTGACAAACACCTGCCTTCTATAGGCAGCCGGAAAATACAGTGCTGTTCTTCTGACTAAAGCGATACTGCTGACACCCTGGAGAATGAACCTTCCACCGCCGCAGAACACTGGGGACGTGCATGTCAAGTCACGGCTTGCACACATAACAACGTTAGCAATTTAATCTTTGACAAGCCCCATTCCTCTAGCAATGAAAAATGTATTATTTAATCTGCTTGTTATTTATTTTGGCCAAATTCTTCATTCATAAAATGAAATTTCTGGAAAAAAAAAAACACACACACACCATCTTTTAGGACTTTAAAACAATCTGATCTAAACAATTACTTCCCAACACTGTCACACCTAACAAAAACCAAACCACTAACCTCTTCCAATTTTTACATTTTATCTCAGTACAATTTTACCTCTGTTTGTTTTTTGTTTCACTTTTCCTGCCCTTTTTCGTTCTGCTTTGTTTACTTAAGCTTATTATGATGAATGATGCCTATGTTAGTTTATTTGATGCAACTGTTTGTATTGAACTGCATTTCTATTATTAAAAACAACCAAATCCGAGCGCGCGCGTCAGCGTGTCCGTGATTTTCTAATACTTCCCGCGCTTTAAAACCCTTGCGCCTTGGTCACACTGTATCATTTAAGTCTCCCAGAACCTTTTCTATGGCACTATCATTATTATTTCAACTGTTCCGTTTCATTCCAAGTAAAACTAAATGTACACAGCTCGTCCTTAGTTCTATTTGGGAATGGAACTCTACAGGCACCGAGACCCAGCGTGTCCTGACTGGGCTGCTCGGCCCCACTGCTGGATGTTTGTCCAAACAGGAGCAACATTCTTGTGTGTTAACATGGAGAAACACACGGCTGCAGTTTGTGCACTCATTTTTTCACTCGGTGCTTATGTGCACCTTAACACGGTTTTTACTGGGGCAGCTGAGCACAGTTTGACCGGTATGTTTGCTTTGATTCGTATGGTAATAATGTATAATCCACTAATTCACTGTTTCCTTCTGAAACGTGCATGGTTGTTGTTTAACAGACAAAGTTTGTCGGCTACCAGACACCTTGAGTAATGTTATCCCAGTCACCACGGCTGACCTGTTTCCTTTTCTGCTTCGCTGCCTCTTTCTCTCAGTGATTCTTCCAAAACCAGGACACTGCCCACGTCGCCTTAATACTGTCCCATCACATAAAGGGTGTGTGTGTGATGAAGACTGTCCTGCAGACCACAAATGCTGTGTCTTTGACTGTGGAGCTGTCTGTGTCCCTCCGGCTTTCAGTACGAGACACGATGTTTAACCTTTTCTCAAGTGGGCAGCTGTTAAATCTAAATCTGTCTTAGTGACTGAACTGGCATGGAAATCAAGTATGGGCTTGATTCGGTTCCACAAGGCAGCACAGCCCATTCCAATTAAAAGACACTTTTCCAGAGTTTCTGTCGTAGCCCTCTTTCTATATTGATTTCTCTTCTCTTTCAGCGAAGCCAGGAGTGTGTCCTCGCAGGCGCTGGGGTTCAGGGATGTGCGCTGAGTTTTGCTCTAATGACAGTGACTGCCCCGGCAGTGAGAAATGCTGCTACAATGGATGTGGGCACGAGTGCATTGCGCCATACACAGGTCAGATATGGACAAAGTAGTAAAATCCCAGAAAACATTCCTCATGTAGCGTTTTTGTGAACACGCTGAGAGTTTCTCCTGAATACCTGCATTCTTTAAATGGCTGTGCTTTTCTCTTTGGTGTGCCAGTGAAGCCGGGGCGCTGCGCTCTGCCCCAAGGCGCGCCCATGTGTGCCGAGTACTGCTACCATGACGGTCAGTGCCCAGGGGAGCAGAAGTGCTGCAGGACAACCTGCGGCCACGCCTGCAGCGAGCCCTGCTGATTGGTTGGGTCACTCAGCTACTGTACATGTATACCAACACAGAAAATGTATAATGTTCATGTTTTCTGTGTTTCCCTAATAGCACACATCAGTGCAATACTGTATATGAGCACTGGCTTCTATAGGAGAAAGTGCTTAACAACAATAAATGATCAGTTTATTTTGTAGCAAATACTTTTAGCTTAGTTTCACTAATGTAACCTTTAGTAAACAACAATTAGCCTTTTTTTAGAAAATAATAATTGGACCCTTATTAGACAATTCTTTTTCATGTTAAGTTGCATAATTTTGTTAGTCAGTCCACTGAAACCATAATATGTTGGGAAAAATTATACCTACCTTTGAATATTCCACCAATCTGAGTCATCATGTCTGGACTGACTTTCTTAACTTCCTGTAAGGAGGCCAACACTGAAAAGGCAAACTGTTGAAAGACACAGCAACATCTGGTGTGTGTGTGTGCGTGTGTTTTTCAATACAGTACAAACCCCAAATGTGTGGCAGAGATGGCTCAATCAGGCTGAGTTAAGTTCAGGTACACAAATCAGTAAGACTTTGTGAATACTCTTTGGAAAAGCAAGAACTACAGAATAATCTGCCATCCTGTTGTTACGACAGGATTGTCCACTAACATTTGCCTTCAGTCTTTTACATCTTGTAAGCCAATCTGACAAAGCGCTCATATAAAGAAAACAGTGGCTGCTTTGGAGAGCATCTCTGAAAATAGATTAGTTGGCAGGGTGCCACATATAGTTTTAACAAGACCAGCAGTATCTTTGTATTTTAACTTGATTTGTTTACAACTTAATAAATCTTAAGTGTTAAAAATGGATGAAGAATGTATCTGTTCCTTGTGCAGTTTAAAGGTGTGAAGCTTTTTATTTTTTTTGTAGTTCAACAAATAAACATGCTTCCAGAACCTCAATGTGTTGTGTATTTATCACCTCACTGGTTACATGCCTCAAGTTTCACAGGTCTCTTTTATAAGCTTTTTAGATGAGAGCTTGGCTGCAAAAGCCATTATTAAACATGCCAAGAATGGAAAGTGTTTACTGGCAAAATAAATAAATCAATAAATACTGAAAGTGGTGACTAGAAACTTCAGGAGCTTGCATACTTAAATAATACTGCTCAAATAGCTTTTTAAAATATAAACAGCCAAACCTAATTTCATAATTGACAAAGGTGTGAGCAAAGCCCTGTCTAGGGAATCACAAACAAGTGAAGGCGATGTCTCTGAGCCGCTTATTGATGAGGGTATGCGTCCGTGAATAACAGCCTGAAGGCTGAGGCAGCAGAGCTACGCATGCTCTCCGTCTTCTCCAGCTGTGTATACCTACAGTACTTGCTATAGTGCACGGGG